AAGTAATAGCACTTTCTCGGTGTTTTATTTTATTTTATTATTTTCTTTTTAATTGGCATAATCTTTAAAAACGTGTTCTATAAAGTTTAGATGTTGAGTACATTAAACAGAATTTAGGATTCCTATCAAAAATTTGTGTTAAGTTAAAGTGACTTAAGAAATCAAAATTATATTTTTGATCACTAAACTTCAAACACACTGTTAATACTTGTTAGAAGTGATTATGACAACATAGTCTCACTCAGCAGCAGGGATTTGTGTGTTGTGAATGGTAATTATCACCAAAACGTGAAGAAAGTATGAAATAAGGTAAATTATGTGCGATATAAGTTATGCATATAAATACAAATTATTTATTTAATTTAGTAGTTCAATTCTTACATTCAATCCTTGTGCCCCCAGATGTAGGACGGGTGCCTCAGTTTGTTCGCTCATAAAAGTGAAATCTTATGTCATGTGTGTTAACTTCACAGTCATAAAGTAATAGTTTGTACAGAAAACAATCCTTAGGAATGGCAGAGCAAAGGAGTAAACAAAATGTTGATAATTTTGCAAAGTTCTTGCATCTGTGTCCATCTGGTGTTCCAAGTATTCCTTTACTGGATGTGGTCACATTGATAATTAGGAAGTTCATGGGCAAAAAAGCACACAACTATTCATACAGACATGCATAAAACCCCCATTTTTTTGTACTGCATCTAGTGAGGCAGTGCTTTTTTGCATTTACTGTATGTTTCACGTCATGGTAGTATGGGCAAATTGGGTACCTTGTATGTAAATAACTAACTTGGAGGGGTACTAGTGAGCTAGGTTTAGTTAGAGGTTCTAACTTAATTTGAGATAGACTGTTGTTGTTTTTTTAAAGAGCCTCTTCATCCTACACTTGAACATCATCTTCGTAAAGTTGGCTCATTAACAGTACGTTTTGTATTTTTTACATATATATTGAAATATTGTTGGTTTAGGGTGATCATTGTTGAGGTGTATTATTGATTGGCAAAAAGATAACGTATTTTTGGTGTAGAAGATATTATACTAATGTCCTTCTTCATACACTATACTTTCAGGATAATTTGACTTGCAGTGCATAGCTTACCTACTACATGCCCATTGAAAAGTTCAAGTGTGCCTTATGATGAAATTTTATTTGTGGATTTAAAAACAAATCATGTAATTTTAATTGTTGTTGTCCATACAAAGAGATTCCATGTCAAATTACCTGACAAGCTTTTTCTCGGATTAATTGTAGGAATTATAAAAAATTTACAGTGGCTGGATATTTTGGTATTAATAGACAATCAAACTAGATATGTTTACATTTTGAGGAGAAGCGGTATCACTAGATTTTACTGATTTTGGTATTAATAGACAATCAAACTAGATATGTTTACATTTTGAGGGGAAGTGGTATCACTAGATTTTACTGATTTTGATTTGCCTTTTGTTTAGCAACCATCAGTCCATCCCAAATCCATAATTGCTGCTCAACCCTAGGCTATCTAACTATCACGTTATTATGAGTTGTGACTGCACTGTTACATTTTGTAGAAGCATACCAGGCAATCCTCAGAAGGTATATATGGATTGGCTTTTCCCATGATTGAAACTAATTTTTCAAGTCTTGACAAGTTTACTTTTATAGCTTAAGTCTTTTCACGAAATTGCTCGCATTCTGTAACAAACTTGCAAGAGAATTCTAGGCTCGGCTCTTCATTCATTTTATTCATACCTTATGTGTAATGGAGTGTATCAGTCAAACTTAATTGTCTTCATTGATGTATATTTTGTTTGGGGTTACCTTAGTTTTAATTGAAATGCTTATTTATGTTCAAAAATCATATCTAATTCTAACACACAAGTACATGGATTAATGAATAAATCTTTACAAAATATTGTTGTCTCTTAAAAAAAACTTGTCGTTCATGCAATTTACCAAACAATGAACTAAAACATGCTAATTCACAAAAATATGCCTCCTACTGGCACGGTCTGTAGACTTATAACACTAGAAACCATGTTTCGATACCCTCGGTGGGCACAGAGCAGATAACAGCTTATTGTGTAGCTTTGTGATTAATTACAAACAAACAATATTAGCATGTAAAACCCTTAATATGACTAGTTGAGAATACTCTCTTTTTTAGGTATATATCAGTTCTTATCAGTCTAACAATGCTGATGATAAGGACTGCCCTTAATGATGGCGTATTGTGATTGTTAGGATTCTGGAATTTTTCAGGTACATTTTTTGTTCGTATATTAGCTTTTATATTCTTTTATAGCATGATAATTTGAAGTTGTCATATATTTCATCTATATCTAGTAATTGGGAATTATGGTTTTGTTGCCCCGGAACTTGGAATTTCAAATATGCTCGTAAACCTGTTAGTTCATATTAGGTAACGTGTCCAGATGAGGACTGCATCTTTTGTAGTATCATCCTAGCAAAGTTAATAATACAAGAAATTAAAATTCTTATCATGAATAACAGAAAAACAAAATATGCTTTGAAAGGATGCTGCAGATAGAATTTTTCAGTTGAGCTTTGTTTAATTAAGTAGCCAAACTCACTTAATTTAAATGTAATCGGGTAATAATATTTCTTGATACCTTTTCTACTTTTATTAATTATGTTGGATTGCTATTATTTTACTATTTCATAGACTTTGTATGAAATTAATATGCTATTAAGTTGAAAAAAGGCTTAGTTGGGGTAAATAAGTCAATCAACTTTTTGTTGGTCTTGAATCAAATATATATGGTACAAATATAACCTATTTCCTGGATTGAAACAATATTCTCATAATTTTAACTTTTTATTGGTATGGTATGGAAGTTGATACTGGTTCCATTTTACTATAGAACTTCTAATCATATATGTACTTTGTTGATATAAATATTGACAAGAAAGGTTGAACTAGGTAGAATCCCACTTTACTGGTATAAATGTTGACAGATTGAAACAATATTCTCATAATTTTATCATGTTGTTGATATGGTATGGAAGTTGATACTGGTTCCATTTTACTATAGAACGTCTAATCATATACTTTGTTGATATAAATATTGACAAGAAAGGTTGAACTAGGTAGAATCCCACTTTACTGGTATAAATGTTGACAGATTGAAACAATATTCTCATAATTTTATCATGTTATTGATATGGTATGGAAGTTGATACTGGTTCCATTTTACTATAGAACGTCTAATCATATACTTTGTTGATATAAATATTGACAAGAAAGGTTGAACTAAGTAGAATCCCACTTTACTGGTATAAATGTTAACAGAGGTCAAGGTAGGTTAATCCCACTTTATTTGATATAAATATTGTACTGTTTTAACGATCTTGTTGCAATCAGGAATCACTGATTGCTGATTATTATAGCGCCCAATTGGTCTGATTTCAATTATATACAGTAAAGTTGATGATGTCATTTTGTAGTATTGTTGACAGTTTAACCTTAAAAATTGTAATGACTACATTAAATTTCAAATGGTTGAAGTTATTAATAAATATGCCATGCAAAAAAAATCACAATCTCTTGATTTTTATTTGAACAAATGGAAAATAAAAATGGGGAATGACCTTGTGTCTAGTACATGATCGATACATAACATTACGTGATTGTTGTGAGAGACAAACAAATTGTTGAGGTTCATTGCTTAAAATAATCATTCATTTTAGCCATATGTGCAAAGACTTTTGCTGTCACTCTACACATTTTGAACTAAACCACTTCCTGAATCAAACAAAGTATTACAATCAAATATCAAATAAAGTGACAATGTTTGAAAGTTTTCGTTTGTAATTGTGATTGTTGTGAGAGACAAACAAATTGTTGAGGTTCATTGCTTAAAATAATCATTCATTTTAGCCATATGTGCAAAGACTTTTGCTGTCACTCTACACATTTTGAACTAAACCACTTCCTGAATCAAACAAAGTATTACAATCAAATATCAAATAAAGTGACAATGTTTGAAAGTTTTCGTTTGTAATCCGGCATGATTCTAAGTCCTCCATGTAATGTAATGTAGGCTACATGCACATGGTGTATGCTGAGTAGTGTCAGTGTTTGTACTGTCATGCATAAACCCAGTGTGCATGTGGTGTTAATATTTGTTGTTCACAGACCATCTCTGTACTAACTTCAATTTGTACACGAATTGTGTTACAGGGTTAGCTGTATACTATATTGTACATGGCTTTGTTGTCCTGAGAATGAAGCCACATTCCAAATTAGCCTTTCCAGAATTAAGTTGTAAGTTGTTCCACTTTTGGAAGGTACAATAATAATAAGAGTTAGATGTATTTCTCTTGGTATGAACTTGAGAAATGACCAGTGGTGCAAAACACACATTGTGAAAAGTGGAAAAAAAGTTTACTCCCAAGAACTGGCGAACTGAGCATAAAACTTCCAATGCAGAAAACCACAGTGCAGTACTAACAGGGAGCCACATGGCATACTATCCCGAGAACTTCACTAGAAAAGTCTGTACATCTCCGGCAAGCACACAGAGTGTGTTAGCTCTGTGCTTAGGGTGCTGTTATGGACCATTTGCTAATGTACAGTCTGTAAAGAAATGGGTGTGCTTTGCACTGTGCAAGGCATTATTTTAAATCTTTCTTTTGTTCAGTGTTTCAACTAATGAGAGACAAACAAAGATTGTTTAACTAATATTTTATTCTATGGTGGATGATGTTTCACGGTTTAAAAAGTACAGGGTCGTGATTGTAAGCATACTTACAAATCAGAAGATTGTCGTTGTGAATAATGTGGTCTGGGTGGTGTTATTTTTAATTTCTCGGCAATCGATTTTCCGTGATTAAGAAATTTGACAAATTCACTTATTCCATTTGTCACCCGATTATGCAATAATTGGCCCGATTCCGATTGCTGAACCAGCTATCAGTAAAACACTAAAATATTGACAAGGAAGGTTGAACTAGGTAGAATCACACTTTGTTAATCTAAGAATCAACAATAAACGTTTTAGCTAGTTAGAATTCTAATCTGTTGGTATAAATATTGATAGGAAAATGTTGAATTCTGGAGATCCTTTTTCTGTTTGCATAACAGTAGACAGTGAGATTATTGAACTAGGTAAAATATACTCTGACATAAATATTGACAGAGAACAGTTTAAGCAAATACTGAGAAGAGAAGGTCATATTTGGTTGATAATTTCTATGTTAAAACAAGCACTGACAGGGAAAGATCAAACTGCGGATATCTTGTATAATGGTACACTGCGTGAAATTGTCTTTGTTATATTCTAATGCATTAGTTTTATCAGAGCTTGTTAGATGTATGTTCAAGTAAATTTGTAACATATTTTGAGGATAACAAAAAAATTTTAAAGTGTTTATTTTGTAATTTTATAAATGTATAATTTGCTTATTGTTTCTTTACAGGGTCAGATCAGAAATCATGAAGAAGCAACATAAATACTACATTACATGTAAACATCTGTAACATTTGTTATTTGTAGAAATATATTCAAGATTAAGAATATTAAGTAGTAGACTACCTCTATACTGGCAAATTTATAGCACAGCTGTTACTCGTTGGGTAACTTGTAATTAAGATAGCTTTTGTTGTAATCCGGGCAAGAAGTGACTTTTCTGAATTATCTCATCTCAATGTAATATTTGTATACTAGTAACAGATCACTCATGTATTCATAGATAGAGGGTACTTTCTATATCAGCTTATTTAAAAATAGCTTTCGGTTATGGTATTATTCTTCCAGAAGTAGATATTACAACTTTTAAAAAGTTGTATTATTACTATATTTGTTCCTTATGAGAACCATAATTGTAAATTATATGTGTAGTTTTTTAATAATAATTAAAATTGTGAAAAAGATTTTTTTTGAATTTTTATTTAAATAACAATTTGCAATATATCAGGATTATTATTGTAAACCAAAACTATCTGAATATATGCAAACAGATTGACTGTGTGTCAGTTGTAATGAATAATTGTTTTTTTTTCTTTATTTTTATCACCCACACTATCAGTTTAAGTTACTATTCTTTTATTGTATCATAATTTCGAAAGAATAAGTATTTTGTACTTAACACTATTATTTTCCCTCTATTAATCAAATGTAATTCTTGATGTATTTCCAGTACTTGGTATCTTTATGCCTAAATACGTGGAAGTTTATTTTATTAAAAAAGTCTATATTTACCCATTGGTTTATTTCTGTGAATTTTTAATATGAATTTCAGACCTTTAAAGCTGTATGGGTGAGAACTAACATTGCTCAAAACTGCAAATTCACAACCGATCATAATTTGGGTTATCTTAGCTAGTGTGACTGTATACATTTTGATTTCACAAAAGTGTTTAATTAGAAAAATGATTTGTTTTGTATTCACCTAGTCAGTATTATTGTAAGAATTGCAGGACTAATAAATCATGTAGGATTAATAAATACATAAAACAAGCGACTCATACTCTGACTATTTTTGAAATGTAAGCCTTCGTTAATAAGGATAAACACCTCCGATTTCAAATCCATTTGGTTTACATGATTTTTATCGCAAATGTTAGGTCTATTGGTAGACCTTCCTTCTGGTAGTAAATTAGTATTTATTGTCATGTAATACTTGACGAATAATTTATTAAACAGAAATATTGAATTCTGTATTTATCATTAATAAACTAATATCAAAGTAAGCAGTTTTGTTGCTCAACTAATTCCATGAGCAACATTAAAAAAGCTGTTTAAAGGTACCGTACAACTTTTATACTGATAACATAAATCAATCACAAAATTGCAATTCAGATTTTGTCTCTCATTTGTTAGGCATATAAGTGGCTAATAGCCATCAGAGTTGTTGAAATGTATCTCCAGTGTGAAAAGACTGTGTAATACTGCATCCTGTTACAAAATAGTACACTCAAATAAAAAAAAAACTTTCTGTTTTATAAACTTCAAGGCATGTTAGCCATTTTTTTATGTTGCTACTCTTTAGATTGAATACTGTATATTAATGTGTTCTTTGCTGAAAAATGATGAAGATTAGAATTATAATTTTATTATGTAGTTATATCCTTTATTACTAAAAATGGAAACATACATGAAATATCAAATAGTCCTCCATGTTGTATATTATGCAGTGATAAAGAGGAATTATAATTTAATTCCCTACTCATCACCGAGGCAATGTAATTGACCTTTGATATAAAGAATTGTACCTTAAAAATATCAAATATATTCAAAGGTTTTCTTAATTTTCAGTAATAAAGCAATTACAAATGTAAAATAAACTTTTTTTGAGCCTCCTAATTGTCAGATCACCATAGGTGTACATATAAGCTTGATGGTTAAAATAAATACATCACAATGTTAAAAGTACACAACAGTTTATTAAAAACGGCATTATACTGGTGCTGTTTTTAATAAATTATTGTGCACTTTTAATATAAATTGGGTACAGAATGTCCTCATGTTGACCGTATGTGTCTGATACCTTAATAATAGGAAGATTAAGCTATAAAATCAGAAGAAAAAGGAGTCTGCAAAAGTTAGTTAAGTAAGTTACCTTTACGTTATTTGTCAAATCTCTGTTTGGTGATAAAAATAGTTTTATCTTTGGTTTAAATTTTGAAGATCTTAACTAAATATAAGTCCTACTAATAAGTTAAATAATGTACAGACTAATCCCGCATGATTTCATAACAAGAAGACCCGCATTTACATGCTACCATAAGGATGGTAAATTTGATGATGAGGAACCCACTTTTTAGTAAATAAAAGTTTCGAGCCATCTCCAAACTTTTAAATATGTAACTGTTGCAGCTTGTGAATAAATTAAGCAATACGAAAACATTGATTTGCTGGAGGATTTGAAAATAAATGTACTTTTACTCTGATTCTTTAATCCTTTCATTACCAACATCAGTGTATTATGTACCCACATTTAATGTGGTTTCAGATAATAAATGAACCATTTCACTGTTCAAAACGTTTTACAATACCTTATAAGAATTTCAATTCCCTTACTCTCTTTAAAAGGTTTACAAATATGAAAAAAAGAGTAATTGGTTTACAAATTTAATTTTATTCAACTCTTCTGCATCCTATTTATAAAGACTTCCACAAACAACATGCTGAACACTTGCGTGAAACTTTAGAAAGAAAATTTACCAGAATAAGTCTAAATAATGACATATGTTTTACTAATTATGGAAGGATAAAATATTGCAGAACTTTTAACTTACATAACATTTTATATTTTCTGTATGGTTTAGTGAAACTTTTACACTTATATTCCTTTGAAGATTTATAATTGATGAACTTCCTTCTCAAAACCGTGGAAATAATATAGAACAGCACGAATATTCCCTCATTAGAACATTTAATATAGTAAGTTTCTTAGCTGAGAGTGTGACCACCATCAATCATTGCAGGTGATTATTGTAGATGCACACCTTAATGTTTGAACGTAGAAAATACAACTGCACTTAGAAAAAAAAAAAGAAGCACGTGTTAAAAGTCCTAATAAGAGAACACAAATATGACGTTTAGACTGGCAATGCAGAAAAAAGACTGCTGTTTAGCAATGTGATGTGAAATTACGAGAAACTTTGAGTGATGGAACGTATGTATGTATGTGTTTTCTTATAGCAAAACCACTTCGGACTATCTGCTGTGTCCACCGAGTAGAATCGAACCCCCCAGAGTATAGCGTTGTAAATCCACTGGGAGACAGTTTGATGAAAGCTCAAAGTTTTGAATTACTTTTTATTCACTTTCTATCTACATTGTATTTTATAAGAATATTACATTTGTTTATAAACATTTAGATAATTCCTTACATTTAAGGCAATTCATAATTTTACCTATGTTATATTTCATGTAATTAATAAAAGAAAAAAAAACTGTATAGATTAATCGTGCTTCGTATATCCCACATTTTGTATTTGCAAGATATAAAACTGCCACTACAAACAGGGTATTCAACACAGGCCAAAAATAAAATATTACAATTAAATGAAATATGTATAATAATATACAAAGAAATTTTATTGTATGTAATTAGAAAATTTGTCATTACTTATCGAGTTAATAATAACAATATATATCACATCATATTTTCATTTCCTACACTTCATAATTTTTTTCCGCAATTTATTACAAAGATTTGTTGTTTTTTGTTCAAGTGGTAGGACAGAATTTTTATTATTTCCAGTAACCATACTAATATTTACACAAATATTTGGCAAATAACACAAAGAAAAAATTAAACTTAGAAACAACAGTAGGTTACCAAAAGCGCTGGTAAAACATAATGTTACGTCTCTGGTCGTTTGTTAATTTTCCGTAGAAATTCTTTCCGAGAAACTTCAGCGATACAAGTCCTTTCTTAAATAAAACCAGTTTATTCTTTCTCAATTCAACTTTGCAACACACTTAATTTCCACAGTCACTTTAACTTAAACACACGCTATAATTCACCACGATTCACTCACTTTACTACCGCACTTGACTCAATTGTCCATCTCTGTCTATCTGTCTGAAATTCTAATTCCGATTAATAATTTCGCTTTATCTGGCGCACTTATATACAAGAATAGAGGGCGCCTAGCAAATACTGGATTATTCGTGATGTTCCCGATCTTTCTAGAACTCGGTACGTGTTACCAGAGTCACGTGACTTCCTCTGTCGTAACAATAATTATTACATTGTAGTAAAAACGGTTACCAGTTCCTTTCTCGGTTACTCACTAATAGAAGGGGGTTTGTGACATAAAATCATTGAAACTTGAAAGACACAGATTAAAAATTTTCTAGTATCCATTTACTGATAAATTAAAATATATAATGCAATCGTATGTCTTATAGAGTACCCGAAGATAATTTCGTAACAGGTGATGCTTAGAATATGTTAGTATAATTGAAGAAATATTTCACTGTGTTTATGCGATATAATTCTAAGTAGAACTTTATTGAATTTCAGTGTGTTTTATTTCTCTTATGTTAACATTTTCCACGCAAATACATATTTAGAAAATACAGCATAAAGTAATACAACATATCAGCAGTTGTTAGAGTAAACGTCAATCAGAATTTATCATCTACTACTCTATTCTAGCTCTAACATATTAAATATCGTCTTCTGTCAGTTCTCTGTGAAAAAAGACACTAATGAGTCTTTGGCGCATATATATATATATGTATACCTTAAACGCCGCTTTGCAGCCTATATAAAAATTATCAGCTTTATTCTTACAATTTGAAAATATATGACTGTGCATTCCTGGTATTTGTGTCAGTAAGGTAACCCTAAAACAAGCAGATGCGATTAACAAAATGACAGAATTATCATTTCCTGTTGAGTAATCTTCCCATGTTTTTCAAACACACATGTATTTATGCGTTAACTCAATTTGTGTGCCGCTTTAATGGAGTTTTTTTTTTAAACGGATATAGGTTTTCGTTAAATATTTGGGTTACTCTTACTAGCAATTTACTTTCACATGTAAACTGTAAAGTTACGTGTTACTTGAATGTAAGCAATGCTTATCGCTAATCACATGTAAATATTAGCCTAACAAAGAAACATCCGCATTTCAAACAGTTGAAAGAGATTAGATAACAATAATTTCTCAGATATGTTAGCTGGGTAATTATTGATTTATCAAAGAAATTACCAATTCAAACAAATACGATAAAACATTAAGCAATGGTTTTAACGGTGCGAAAATGGGGTTTAGCCAAATCGAAAACGGATGTGTGTGTCTAGTTACCAGGATAAATTCTCGTCGTTATGTATATTTATTTATAAACATATAAAAGTAAGGTATTTTGTTCTATTCAGCGGTGGACAGAATATTCGATGTATGCCATCTCTAAGGTAATGGTAAATATATTTTTTTTATGTTTCCAAAAAATTAATAGTTTGTGATTTAACAGAAGCTTTATAGAGGATAAGGAATGTCTTTGTCTTATTTAAAGTAGTTTAAGGAATTCTAATTATATTAAAAATCTATACAGTTTTCTACTGAATTCTATTACTGTAAAAAAAATTATACATTTGAGTTACAGTAGCTTAATGAGTGCTAACGCCCCCCCAGTGGCACAGTGGTATGTCTGCAGACTTACAACGCTAGAATCCGAGTTTCGATACCCGTGGTGGGAAGAGTGCAGATAGCCCATTGTGTAGCTTTGTGTTTAATTACAAACAAGTAAACAAATG